TCCTCCTCCTCCTCCTCCTCCTCCTCCTCCTCCTCCTCCTCCTCCACTAATTATAAGTTTAAAATAAATATAATCATTTTAAGATGTATGGCACAGTGTGATAAACTTAGAAAATCTTGGAGAAGACATAGCAAAGAGATTTTAAAAGAGACAAATTTGCTCTGGTATGTCCCAGGTATAAACAGTGCTGTTTTGGAGTCTTATCTCAGGGTAAAATCTTGCCAGGATATTTAGCAATACTGTTGTAAGAAGAAGTACATCATGTTCTATGGCAGCATAACGGAGAGCATATAAATTATAGCATGTGTTTTACCAGACAAAGATTCCACTATAATCTTTGATGGAGATTCTAACATCAAAATAATTAGACTGTAGTAAATTTGCTAGAATTTGAAATGCTCCGGTACACTTTACTATTTTCATAATGACAGAATCTAAAGGGCAGTAAGCCTACCAGCCATTATTATTTATTTTTGTTTTCAGATTTATCTATTGCTTTCTTGAGTTACAACCAAGATTGTCTGTCTGTAAACAGTCACAATACAGGTAGTCCTTGACTTACAGCAGCTCATTTAGTTGACCATTCAAAGTTAAAAGAGCACTGAAAAAAGCAACTTATGACCCCTTTTCACCCAAACATTGCAGCATCTCCATGGTCATATGTTCAAAATTCAGACCCTTGGCAACTGACTCCTATTTTTGATGGTAAGCAGTGTCCTGAGGTCATGTGATCACCTTTTGCAACTAGTTCATATTTATGACTGCCGCAGTGCCCATGGAACATGTGATCAACTTTTTGTGACCTTCTCACAAGCAAAGTCAATGGGTAGGTCAGATTCACTTAAGAACTGTATTACTAACTTAACCACTGCAGTGAATCACGTAACAACTGTAGCGAAAAAGGTGGTAAATCGGGGGCAAAACTCAGTTAACAATTGTCTCGCTTAGCAACATAAATTTTGGGCTCAGTTGTGGTTATAAGTTGAGGACTCCATACATAAGAAATGCATGAAAGAAAGAAAGAAGTCCCCTCCCCTCAGTCAGAATATCCAGGCTAAACTTCCCAAAATGTTCTCACAAATTTAAGTTGATTAGATGTTACTTACCTTTCTTGCAAAATAAGCTTATTTTCTTTTTTCCAAAATTCTTTAAAATCCGAACTGAATTCATGCCATATGCTGAAGAAAGCATTCAAGGAGACCTCTTTTTCACCCATTTTTGGTTTCATACAGAAATATGCTGCAGTCTCCAGAAAGCTATCAAAGAAAACAAAGATGTCAACTATTTATTTAACATTATTTTATCTGCTTCTCTCATACAAAGATGATATTTTTTTTTTACAAATTACTTGATATTTATCTAGAATACATGCATGATTCCTTCATCATCTTAATCAGCTTTAGGAAAGGTAAAAACTGATATTTAGTATCTGCAAGGGATTGCGAAAGCAAAATTGCATTGAAAAGTTGCATTGGACCAGTTTTTAAAACCAAGAAAACCAAGATTGCTCTTACCATTCACACATCACTTTTCCATAGCAAATCAATCCTTTTACAAGGTATGTCATGCCTTGCTGTTGTGATTTTTAGGGAAATTTTAATTCATGGCTAGTACAACAAAGACACAATGTATGCTTTTATCTGGCTGCCTGTTCCACTGGAAGTTTTTTTTTTAAACCAATTAAAAAAATAAAAAAGAAACTGTCACACTGGATAGCAAAGCATCACTGACCAATAAGCTTAGCAATGATTTGTGAGGGCTGGAAATGTTATCTGTGCATGGCTGGCTACATTTTGTGCCTATATGCAATATTTATTGCCTGTATAGAATAGAATTTTTTATTGACCAAGTGGGATTGGACACACAAGCATATTTTTAATTTGTTTTTTGTTTTGTTATATATTTGTATATTTGTTGCCTGTGCAAACACATTAGTTTTTTTCTCTCTGTGAAAATATTCTTTTGTTAATGTTGTGGATATGAACATGCGAAAATCCCAGATCCCACCTTTACTTTCTACTTTTATTCTTGAGCGACCTACTGCTTACTTTTTAGTCTTACCCATTTGTCTTCTAGTCAATGAATTCTTCATCGGTGGCAAAGTCACCATGGCAGTCACTGTTCAGAATGAGCTAGACCCCTTCGTTATGTTAGCTATTTTATGAATGAATGCACACAGGGGTGGGATTCAAATTTTTTAACAACCGATTCTGTGGGCGTGGCTTAGTTGGTGGGCGTGTCTTGGTGGTCATGTGACTGGGTGGACATGGCTTTGTGGTCATGTGACTGGCTGGGCATGGTCAACTCAACATCACTCACATCGAGGCACACATCTCCTCACATGGCCTCTCATGACGGTGGGGATGCTGCAACAGTCGTAAGTGTGAAAAATGGTCATAAGTCACTTTTTTCAGTGCCATTGTAACTTTGAATGGTCACTCCAGACAAGCAAAGTACCAGCAAAGGAGGAAAAAAACAAAACACCAGAGACATTCCTGAGACAGGAAGTCTAGTCCTGCTAAGAATGTAATAAGAGTTAATGGAGAGGCAGTTTCTGTAAGCAACACCAGAATGTTTCCTTCCTGCCTTCCTTATAGGATTAGGCCAGTAATTTCTTCTAACAACCGGTTCTCCGAACTGCTTAGAATGTTAACAACCGGTTCTAGTGAATAGGTGCAAAGTGGTAGAATCCCACCCCTGAACGCACAACATGCCCTTGGCATTCCAAATATGGCCACCAGCAAAGTTAGTATTCAGCAGGTTCTGACCAGTTCTGGAGAGTAGTGGAAATTTTGAGTAGTTTGGAGAACTGGCAAATACCACCTCTGACTGGCCCTGCCCACATCTATTCTCTGCCTCCCAAGTGCCAGCTGATTGGCTAGGTCTTCTTTTGTTGCCCTGCACAGGAGAACAGAGTTGGAAAGCAAGTTAGTGGGGTGGGAATTTTGCAGTATCCTTCCCCTGGAGTGGGGAGGGAATGGAGATTTTGCAGTATCCTTCCCCTGCCACACCTACCAAGCCATGCCCACCAAGCCACGCCCACAGAACTGGTAGTAAAAAAAATTTGAATCCCACCACTGGCCACCAGCCTTAAAAATTGAGGATTGCTGAACAGTTGTATCCTTCTTATGAAATAAAGATATGCCACAGTGGTGGGTAAAAAGGTCCTGCAATCAAATCAAGTCAAATCAAGCCATCCCCAAAACAATTATGAAACAGCCTTGTTCTAGAAAATTGTACTAAAGGAAGACATTTTTCTTTGTTCCTTTTGTTGTAATCTGATAGGTGGCAGATTTACACAGAATAAAACTTGGTCAAAGAGGGATTTATGACAGGTGAAAACAATCCTCTCTCCCAGACTGAGTCAAACTCATGGGAATGGACACTATTCTAGGTCAGGGGTCTTCAAACTTGACAGTTTTAAGACTTGTGGACTTCAACTCCCAGAATTCGTCCTCCAGTCATGTTAGCTCAGGAATTCTGGGAGTTGAAGTCCACAAGTCTTAAACTTGCCAAGTTTGAAGACCCTTGTTCTAGGTCTTCAAAGACACTTTGCAGTCCCAAGGTGCTTTTTTTCAAGAGTCAATGGGACTTTCTTGTTTTTCTTTGAAAACATATCACTTCTCATCCAAGAAGCCTCTACAGCTGAAGAAGAGAGCTGAAGAAGCTTCTTGGATGAGAAGTGAAACGTCTTCAAAGAAAAACCAGAAAGTCCAGTTGCCTTTCGGAAAAAAAGCATCTTTGGAACAACCATGACCTGGATGACTGAGAATCTCCATAGACAGCTCATTCAGAAAGAGGAAACACTAAATTTCACTAAATTCTCCCACAAATGCTTTATATTTCTCCAGACTTCACATATTTGCTAACCACCACTATATATGAAACAACTGGAACTACCTAGGAATGATGTGTTAGGATCACAGAACAACCCTACATTTACCCAAGGATACATAAGATTAAAAGCATCACATTTAAAGCAGTCCCTCCAAGCTGTACATTTAAATATAACAATAAGCCATAATTCTCCATCTCAAGCCTTTTCAACAATCGAGAAGCCAGAGTAGATTGAAATTCTCACAAATAAATACTTGATGAGTTTGATAAATAGCACTAACATTTACTGGAGACATGAAAGCTTTTGTTAAGAATAATATGTGATCAAAGAGGGTAAAAGGCAGGCTTTTGCACAGATCACTGCTAATCTTGCTGGGAACCAACAGAAAGCTGATTCAGACACACGGAGACATTTAACTGCCAACAGAATTCCTTTATCTAAACAGCTACGAGAAATAATCAAAAGTCCTCAGCTGGGTCACTTCTGCAAAAGTGAGCTTGTTTGTAAGATGCAAAACATCAGACACTGGAACGCCATCAAAAATAATACACAAATATCATTTATATACAAATATGGAGAATAGGAATTGGAATACTAGGAGGCTTAGAAACAGGGTTCCTGAGGAATTAAGTTGTTTATCAAATGAGCGCAGGCAACTTGCATTTAAAGTAATCACCTCCATTTGTTCTGAGAAAGTTTCCCATATATGGTGATTAAACCAACTCCACAGCATTCATTTATTTAAAAAAAAGAAAAAAGAAAACAGAGAAGTGAATGCAAGGTTTGGTATACTATCAACCCTGACTTCAGAACAACTAATTCCGATATATAGAGAGTGCAAATATCTGAACACTGAATTTGAAGGGAAGTAGATTTTTTTTTAATAAGCTAATATTTTAAAGTAAATTTTTATAGTTAGAGAAGAATTCTGCACATTTACAAACAACATTTTAATTCATAATCCATTCATTCTGAGTAAGAACCTTATCAAGGTTAATAATTGAAAGATAAAGTTTCTATTGCTAACCAGATTAAAAATGCTAATTTTCCCATGTAAATTTACATGTATAATGAGGGAGTATCTTTTAGCAAACAATTCAGGATTAGTTTTAGGCAGAGATGCAAATGAACTGTGATCAATTCCAAAGGCCGGTAACAAAACTTCAGAAAAACATATGTATTTAAAATGACACTTCCTAAATTTTGTTACAGTTGTATCCAGCTATTTCTCCAAGTTTGGTGCAGAAACAATTTGGCAGCTGTAAGATTTTTTTACTTTGACTTTTGCTATGATCTAACTTGTTTCTTCCTTCTGTCTCTGTCTCCCTTTGTCTTAACCTTGGGTTTAATTTCATTTAGTTTTGGAAAATTGGAAAATTATTTTACTTAATAGTTCATTTTACTGTTTTGCTGTTTTGGAAGGCTTTTTAAAGGTTAAAAAGCAGGGTAGAAATACATTTAACGAATACAGGATGCAGAATTAGACACAACTTTTTATGAGCTATTTTCTGATGGTTTCAAATGCTATTCTGTTATCATCCTGCTTGTACAATGAGGTGTTTCTTTCTCACTTACAGCTCTATAAAACCCCAAACCTATTTTAAAGGATCCTCTCTTTCCTAAGCATGTTTTCCTATGAGTCTTGCAGCGAATAAAAGAATCTGTCCTGTGAATTCCTGGATGTTGTACTGCTGGCAGGTGGGCAAACTGGAAGCAACTGAGTGTTTAGAAACTCATTAAACTAGGAATGAATTGAGGAGCAATTGATCAAAGGAAGTCCACTTAAACAAAGACATTTTTGACAATAACACAAGCGTTAAGGGGGGGGGGGAGAATCTCAAAGTAAGGCAAACTTTAAAAAAAAGGCAATATTTTATTGCTATCACATTTCCTGTAATAAACTAAGCTTGCGAAGGTTGTAAGATAAAAATGGAAATAGAGCATCTCCTATTTATTGACTGCAGCAAATGCTCAATAAATAAATCCTTAAAAGGCAAAGAGGAGGACAAAACCAGGGTCAATGATTTCCCAAGTACAAGGGCTGGACATAGAAAACTGCTGAAGTGTATGTGGGGAGGGTGTAGAAGTAGTGTAATTAAAGGAAAAACCTGCCAGCCAAACTCCCCGGTTCTCATCATGGGTTTGCTAATTACATTCTTGTCCTTTTGGTGAGGACACTTCCTAATGAAGAGCAGTCTTTGCAAACCAGTGCAGGAGGTTGAAAGCTCTCAGCTTAGATGCTTATCTTGAGGGTTAGAACACTGTACCTATGTTTCCACCACTAACACAGAAGGTGGGGGAGGTCACTGTTGGGGATTAATAGAGGCAGCAAAGGTCAGGGGCTTTGCTTCAGCTAGCATGACTTTTCAATCCTGCTTAGAAAAATGAGCCTTTGGTTGTTCACACCGCTATTTTGTT